TTAGGATGTCAAAACCTTCTTAAAATACCTGTAATAAATCAAAAAGGTGTATTTTTCCAAAAGCAAATAACAGATTCATGGTGATATAGGCGAAATGTTGTGAAAAATGCAGCTCCCTTCAGAGCTTTTTCAGCGTTTCCTACATCTCTGTCAGCAGCTCCCTTCAGAAATGTTGAAATCTTGGACATTCCCTTCTGTTGTAGAAGGGTTCTTTTGTCACTCTTGAAATCACAGAACAGTTTTATCAATATCTGTTTACCATAAAAGATCAAAGCAACTTTAGATTAGTTTTCAGCCCATCTTCGCGCTCCGTGATAACAATACGTCACCGGTAAACAGCAAAGTGTATAGGTTTAGGTTAAATAAATTAAGCAATTTCCAGTCATCCATTGAAAAATTACCAGCAAAACCGTAACAAAACGGTCAAAAGCTCTCATCTACACAAAGATTTGATTAAAAGCCCAAACTTTCATAAATAAGAGCACAATATAGAGTTAGCATACCTAACGATACGTCGTCTGAAAACGGTAGAGATGCTAACGGACTTTTTCGAAGACATTAAACCATTTCTATAAAGTAAATAAACAACAGAAGCGAGTCAAATACAAGTAAGAGAAGTGTTAACAACAGTTAGATGTAATATTTGTGTGATTTTAGGGACTAAACTCACTATCAATGCAAGCACAGTTCAGATTCCTGTGTGAGCAGAGCAGAGATGCTGAAGCCACACTAATGCGTGTGTGTTTGTCAGGTGTTCAGCATGTTCCTGGAGACGCTGGTGGACTTCATCACGTTGCACCGAGAGGATCTTCAGGACTGGCTCTTTGTTCTGCTCACGCAGCTGTTGAAGAAAATGGGGGCCGATCTTCTGGGGTCCGTTCAGGCCAAAGTCCAGCAGGCCCTCGACGTCACCAGGTCTGAAATGAGCTCAGTTTGAACTAGAAACCATTCAAGAGTGAACTGTATTTCTGTGTTTTGTCCTGTAGTCGTCAGTTTGTCGCTCCTTTGGTTGATTCTCTTCTTTCTGTCCTGGTTTGCACAGAGACTCTTTTCCTTACGATCAGCAGTTCAACATCCTGATGCGGTTTATCGTCGATCAGACGCAGACCCCAAACCTCAAGGTCGGTCCGGTCTTTATGTTTTCCTGCTCTGCTTCAATTGAGTTCATAACCAGCATCCAAAAATAACTTTTAATATCCCATCAAACCACCCTGTACATTTAGGATAAAATCCTTTTTAATAAAAATAATATTTGATCTAATAATAGAAAAATACAATTTGAAATATAAAAGTACTATTTGAATAATATTATGGAAAATAGCTGAATTATTAATAATTATAATAAATCTACTTCCTTGCTAAATGTCTGGTTTATACATTTCGTGCAATAGTCGCTGAGCTTTTCTTTCATAAACCTTTACAACAAGGTCCCATTAGTTAACATTAGTTAATGCATTAACTAATATTAACTAACAATGGGCAATTCATTTGTTACAGTATTTATTAGTCCTTATTAATGTTTGATAATAATAATGCTGTTCATTGTTAATTCATGTTGCTCAGACCCATTATATAATATTAACAGATATCACTTTTAATTTGAATAAAGTGTTAGTAGATGTTGAAATTAACATTAGCTAAGATTAATAAATGCTAACAAATCAATCTTAATGTAAACAGTGTTATGAAGGATCATTGAAGTGCTATTAGTTTTTATTAATATCTTTTATTGGTTTGAATTTTTTTTATTTTCTGGGTTTGTTGGGTCAATTTTTAGTAATTTTATTGTGTTTTTGTCTTTTTTTTTTAAAATAGCATCTTTTGAGATACTATTATAGTTTTTATTAATATTTTAAATTAGTTTTTATTTTTCTGTTTTCATTTTCATTTTAGTAATTTTGTTGTGTTTTTGTCATTTTTATTAGTTTATTTTTTTAAATATGTTTTCCCAGTTTTTATTAATTTTTATATTAGTTTTAGTTTTAGTACTTCAAGTGAAACTAAATGAAAATGAGAAATATTGTCTTGGAAACCAACTGAAAATACAGCAAACATCTCTGAAAATGTCGAAGCAAACTTTCAAATAGACTTGATCTTTATTAACAAACCGTATATATGAAGTCTAAACAAGTACATTCCGTAGTTTTAAGAGTTTTAAAATTTAAAATTTTAGTGGATTTGGGTGTCCGCCATGACACTCGCTGTGAGAAATACTGGAAGCGGAGTGATACAAACGGTGAAAGGGCGTTCCTGTGGCGATACCAGTACAATATCTCACGGTTCTCAACCAATCAGATTTGAGAACCAGAACGAACTGTTGTATAAATATATATATAGATAACAAATAAAAGGTCCATTTAAATAATGTTTTATGTTGTAATTCTTGGCATGAAACAGTAGATCTGTTTTATTTTTGTTTACTTTATAACCCAAACATCACAGTCATATTAACCACTCTGTGTGCGTGTGTGTGTGTGTGTGTGTGTGCGTGTGCGTGTGTGTGTGTGCGCGCGCGTGTG